ACATTGATACAATATTAATATGTTTAAAATATATCACCTGATTCAAATAATTTGATGTATATATATATATGAATCAAATATTAATATTGGTTATCTTCTCAAATTACAATTAGAAATAATATCTTACCTATTATTGCATAACGAAGATAATTCAGTCGATTAATGATATATACAATATATAACAAGAATTACGTTATTCTAATTTTTTAATCAAATATATAAATAGCATATAATAAACGTTAATTTTGTTTATACTATATACAAATACACAATGGGGGAAAATGATATGAAATTAATCTTATAAGGAAATTTACAAAATGATATATTAATGCGAATGAGGTTGAATTATAATAAAAAAAAAAAAGAAGAAGCAAAAAAAAAAGAAAGTAAGAGAGAAAAAAAAATTAAAACAAAAAGAAACATACTTTCCAAACCGCCAACACGTTACTCGCTATAATCATATGCATGATTATATTAAATCGATGGAAAGTATAATGAAAAAGAAAAAGAGGAGTATAATGTTTAATATATATAGGGTGTCCCACATAAGTCTAGTCACGATTTTTCAAGTACTTTCGATAATCTGACTAAAAAATACTTTAAACAATAAACATTTTCTACAAGTTAACATTAAACTGCGATTTACTTCCGTGAATATATATATACTATTAATATTTTTTATACTTATATAGCAAGTGGATTTTAATGATTTTTATATTAAATTAAAGTGCACTTTTTTGTCTACGCGTAGAATACTTTGTCAAGTTATAAATTTAACATGTAAAGTTCAGGAAATGTCAGAGAATGCAATGCTGTAAATTGTGCATTTTTGCAATTTCTTTGAAAAGTTTTGATATATATTTTTTATACTAAAAGTTAATAGATTTTAATAAAACTTGTATTAAATTGAAGTACACTCTTTTGACTACGCGTAGAATATCATATCGAGCTATAAATTTAGCATGTAAACTTCAAATAATGTCAGAGAATGCAATGCTGTAGATTGTGCATCTTTGCAATTTCTTTGAAAAGTTTTGGCCAATATTTTGTATACTAAAAGTAAATAAATTTTAATGAAGCTTATATTAAATTAAAGTACACTCTTTTGTCTAYGCGTAGAGTATMWTWTCGMRTTATAAAWYAAKCWKSKAARSTTCAWKARATGTYAGAGAATGCAAYRMTGTAAATKGTGCATCTTTGCAATTTCTTTGAAAATTTTCGGTTAATATTTTTTATACTTTTTGCAAATGGATTTTATTGATTTTTATATTAAATTAAAGTACTTTCTTTTGTCTACGCGTAGAGTATCTTTACGCGTTAAAAATCTATTTGCAAAGGTTCATAAAATRGCAAAGAATGCGATGCTGCAAAATTTTTCCTACTTTGCCATTTCTTTAAAAAGTTTCGGCAAATATTTTTTATACTTTTAGCAAATGGATTTAAATGAAACTTATATTAAATTAAAGTGCACWCTTTTATCTACACGTAGAATACAAATTTGAGTTATAAATCAATTCGCAAAGGTTCAAAAAATGGCAAAGAAAA